TCCTTGAAGCGTAGTAAGACGTGCTCTATTTTTTGTTCAACTAGACGAGTTGTAAAGCTTTTCGGTTGGCTAAAAGATACCGTGATGGTCTTCGTTGGATAGCAGTTAGTAGTGATATTTTTTGTTTAACTCTACGAACTGTGATATATTTCGTAAGAGTGTTGCTATCCGTGATAGTTTTCGTTAGAGCGTAGTAAGTCTTGATATTTTTCGTTAGACTTTAGGAGGTGTGATTTTCTTCGTCGGAGTATAGTAAGCCGTGATTGTTTTCGTCATATTGCACTTAGCTGTGATATTTTTCGTCCAACTACGCATACTATGCTTTCTTTCGTAAGAGTGTTGCTATGCGTGATTGTCTTCGGCGGAGCGCGAGTGTGTAAGTTAGTCTTCATCAGACTTCGTAAACCGTCATAGCCTTCGTGAGAAACCTGAAGTTGGTATTTTTTTCGTTTAACTAAATGAGATGTGTTTTTCTTTGTCGAAGCCAAATTTACTGTGATTCTTTTCGTACGAGCCGTCGATATATAGACTGTACGTAAAGTAACCTTCCTTCGTTGCAGAAAATAAAACCTACGGTAGGGAGAACAGCGCGAAAATTCGAATCACAGCATCACAGGATCATGTATCCTGCTTAATTTTTTCGGTCATAATACAGCTAAAGATTACTTTGAATTATACTGATGAAACACCGTTTCGATCGACGACCTATAAGAAAGAAAACAAAATGAAACTGCTTAAATGGGTGTAAAAGTATTGTAAGTAAAATTAATAACAATTAAGGCGTTCAAACGTCATTTGCGATAAAAACAAATACGTTATCTGATTTTATCTCGTCGAGCTACCCCAAATCGATTGGTTATAACTTTTTGTGTGACCACGGGAACCCGAGATATCAACATTTTTTCCAGCTCGCACGATTTGAAACGTCCGTGCTCATTTCTCGTAGCATCTGATGCCAGTTATCTCTACCCTACCGACTGAATTGTCGTAGTCATAAACATTGCTTTTACTACAAAATGTATCACTAAAACAATACGAAATATTTTTTTACTGAAAATTTAACTATTAAACTGTATTCTCTGAAAATTTCAGCCCCATAGGTTGTAAAATGCAGCGACAGGAAATTTAAAAAAAAAAAAAATTTTCTTGGCTCCTATTGGTTGTAGAACACTCTTTTTTTTTTAAACATTTAGAGAAAAATTGTGCCTTTATAATGAAAAAAGTTTCGAAACGATTCGCTTAATATTTGTTGAGTTATTCCATTTTGCAGGTAAGCACTTTTTTGCAATCAATTTTGCGAGGTCCCTGTTGGAAGAATCAATAAGCCATAAAACCAAACTGAAAGTACAACTCTTAAGAAAGAAAATGAGCCCAAATAGAACATTCAACGACTTGCAAAAGTTGTAGAAATTAATTTGCAAAAAAGTGATTTTTTAATAAACAAATGGATTTTTGCTAAAAACATGCAACCAAAAAATTCAAAAAAAAAACTACATATACTATACGTCATAAACAATAGTCCATACAATTTTCAGATGTCTACATTACAAACTGTTTGTTTAAACAATCAAACAAAAAACAGCGATTTTGAACTGTTTTTTGTAATTTATAAAAAAAATCCGAAATGAATTTTAACGCAACAGGCCTCATTTTGTAGATATTTAAAATGCCTACAACTTTTGTATAAGACATTTCTTTATAAAATGTAAGGGAAATTTCATAGAAGCAAAAACAAGTTTTTCGGTCCTTGAGCAGCTCATAAAAAAAAAAAAGAAAAAACTAGCTATTGGAATTTAGATACGTTATTTCTAAACATCATAACGAAGACCATTATTCTGAGATATCATGGTTGGCATTTATTTGATGCGAAACCCCCCTATTAATTGGTCTATATCTCGAGTGGATCTCATTCTTCTTTCGGTTGAGTTTATTATTCTCGAGCTCGCATAGCTCAAAAAAGTTGATCCTGAATTAGTAGACCTGCTTAAAGATCCGGTAAAGCACTCGCTTCAGTTTAAGGCTATTGAATGGAGCCAGGTACATCATAAAATTTACTATGACATCTCTGGTAATATTTTACGTCCATATGTGCCTGAACCTCTTCGTAGACGCGTTTCCGAATTATTCCATATGCCTGCCCATCCAAGTACCAAGGTGATAGACACTATCATCAGTCAGAGATATGTCTGGCCCTTGATGCATCGTGATATTAAGGCCTGGTGCAAGTCCTGTATAGACTGTCAGATTTCTAAGGTCTCCCGGCATGTTACAAATAACCCCGCCCAGTTCATTGCTTCTGAGGGTAGGTTTTCAGAAATCCATATGGATATTGTGGGTCCCTTATCTAATTGTGATGGTTATTATTATCTTTTAACTGTGATGGATCGGTTTTTGCGTTGGCCTGAGGTGGTTCCGTTAAAAGATACTTGCGCTCTTTCAGTCAGCCGAGCTTTTTATGACACTTGGGTAGCTCGTTTTGGCGCTCCTTGGGTAATCATTACAGATCAATTAGGGAGCCCAGTTTGAATCTCAGGTGTTCAAAGCTATATTAAGTCTGATTGGTACTCAGTGGGTCAGGACGGTTTCATATCATCCTGCTTCTAACGGCCTCATTGAGCGCTAGCATCGTGATCTTAAAAAGGCGCTGATGTGCCATAACAATTGTGATTGGCTGCGCCAACTCTCTACTGTGTTCTTGGGTTTAAGGACTGCGGTGCGTTTGGATACGGGTGGGTCCCCTGCAGAATTTTTGTATGGAACAACTCTACGCGTACCTGGTGAATTTTGCTTGCCTGATCATTTCAATCTAAATCCTAATCGGCATTTAAAGTACCTGTAGAGTAAATATATTAATTATTAAAATATGACTCATTATTTTTCTCAAAAAATCGTTNATAAATATTTATTTACTCATAATTAGTTTGTTACTTTTACAATTAATAAACAATTGTTAATACAATTTTTTTTCCAAATTTTTTGTACCGTACAATACAACAATTAATTTTTACTGTGTTTTAATCTTTCACAATTTTTTCATTCGTGATTGAGGTGATTTTTTGACTTAAGAACGTTCTTCACATATAGTTACCGGGGAAAAAGTTCAGAGAAGTGTGAGGAACGCTAATGTGTGCAGCAAAGCTGGCAATTGTTTTTCTCATGTGGATGTATTTACATACGCATATTTGATCCCCTCTTTCTAAATTTATTTGAAATCCAACTTGTGGATCTATTTGAAAATTTGATAGGTTTATCTAAAAGTAATCTTTTGTACCAAATAAATTGGAAGATTTTTACAGATCATATAAATACAATTTTACGTAATTTTTTCATACGGTTGCATGTTAGATTGCAATTTTTTAAAATTAAACATCTGCAATTTTTTGGGGTATTTCTTAAGCTATTTTGAGTGTACGTTTGACGTTTGAATAATATCTGTCAAAAAAACCTGTGTGATGAATGTCTTGAAGGGATATTCACTAGTATGTAATACTATACTTTATTGAAGAAAGTGGTACTGCAGGATGGTTTTTCTTAATTTTTTAGATACAATTATATTTTGAGTATTTAATATATGGACTAGTCATGAGTGGGTGAGAGTATGTGTCAGGTGTGAGCGTGACGTTAGAGATGTAATCAACACGTGTTGCCATGGCTTTAGTTTAAACTTTTTTTATCCACGTAATAAATAATTATTAATTTATTAAATATTACAATATTAATTAAAACCAGACCCCGTTATCGTATATATATACTTATTCCAACGATAATTGCACTACCTTCGTACACAATATTGTTTCATAAAAAGTACTTTTATACTCAGAATTATATTGTTTGCCATATAATATTATAGAAGTATAACTTCTTACTTGGGTACCTAAGCATCCACTGTCTACTGGTTTTTTTGTTTGTTTTTGTTTCTAATAAATCTAATAAGCAAGATTTTAAGACTACTGTTGCCGAAAATAATTTATTTTTGATACCAAATCACGCAAATATGTTTAATGAAGGTCAGTTTTTAAACTTTTATACTAACGAAATCATTACATGCTGGTTTTTAAGATGTTCACAGGAAGATTTATTTTTTTTTTATTATAATCTACTGGTTAAATACTATCGCATATTGATTTTTTGTCAGGTTCTGTCAAAAAAAAAAATCAGCCGTTATTAAAGAATTATTATCATATCCAACCAGAAAACTATGGTAATAATAAAAGTTTCATAGTTTGTACGTAGTACTTAACGTTTCAGAAGCGTATATTCCAAAATTCAAATACGTTTCGCACGAAATTTTTTTTCAAATAGTTTATTATTATTTGTACTTTTCAAGGGTTATGGCACGACTAAAACGTTCGATAATGATTTTGTTTTGCTTTAAAAATTTTGATAATAAGTATGTAAGTTTCAAAAGCGTTTTAGATACGTTCTTTGTTGGGATCGTGAAAATCGTGAAATCGGCCCCATAGCACTAGCGCCACTGTCCTATATTTTTCTCCATAAAGTGGTGAGTTTCAAAGGCTCGTGACTGTCAGCGCCAGTAGCGCCACCAGCTTTCCTATCCTTACATACTGTGGCGTGATTTCGAAGTTTCGAGAGACGGCTCTCAAGGGCCGATCCCAATTACCAACCTATGCTCTGTCTGATTTTAGCTTCTAATATTCAAAGAATTTATAGACACTTTAGAAACATTATGGTCTTGCTGTGCGAAACGTTTCTCAGTTTCAAAATGTGAATTTCGAAAAAGTTTTTGAAACATGCGGTTTATTTCTTTTAGTTAATGTTGTTAGCATGCCAATCTACATTTATCTTGATGCCAATCAAAATCTTAAAACTTTAGGTATAAATGTGTAAAGTTTTGTTGTGAATTGGTAAAACTTTTTTTTGTGCTTGATGCCCCCTCAAGTATATTTATGCTGTATTGATCCTACGCTGTAGTAATACACAATGTTTTATTTGAAACAGTGATGCACGGAAGATGCTTGAATTGAAAAAAAATAGTGAAAAAAAATCGATTAATGAAACAATCAGTACATTGAGAATCCAAAAAACAGATCATCCAGCTACAAGAGATCAAGGAACTTACGTTCGTCTAAAGACTCTGAAGTTCAAGAGAGTAGAAACCAATAGTAAATGAACTTGAGACTTAATTCAGAAAATTGTTATTCGTTACGAATTTATGGTTTCATCATTATGAAACTTAACAATAATATTTATATGTATGGTATGATTCGTTGATAAGACAACTTTGACGAAAGCATACCTTTATAAGTTCCCTTAAAATAAGTTATATCTAATAAAAATTATGTAAATTAACATTCTTGTGCAGAGACGTAGTCTAAATATTTCAAAATACTGAGGGTCGTTTTAGATGTAGTCTGGGGGAGTAGGTCCCAGACTAGCTTGAAGCTCATAAGAGTGAGAGAGAGGTTCATCACGAGACCACATCTAACCTCTTTCTCTCTCTCTTGTTCACTCTCAGACTCCATCTAAACGTATCCTATATGAATATTAAGAAGCGAAACGTTTAAACGTGTATTCTCCCTACAATACAATGACAAGTGGTATGTTCAAAATATATTTTATCGATCATATTTAGTAGAGTTAAACCATTTTCTATAAAATACTTGACATGCATTAAAAGTGATAGATGTAAAGCAAAAAGTTGTAGGTATACTTATTTCACACATGGATCATTTCACAAAAACTGCGATATTCCATGAAGCCTATGATTAAAACCGACGGACTAAATTATTTTAAGTTGGAACGTTTTTTAAAATGGTGTAAACTAATTTTCCCAAAATACGTTTTCGAGATCGAGTCGAAAAATTTTTTTGCGTGGCCGTAAGATTGAAAAACACTAATTAAAATGTCATTACCGTAACGCGAAGCATTTAAAAATTTCATTTTTAGCGGCTTCTGGTTCCTAGATGTCGATTTTTTAATTTTTTACGATGTGATATCTGAAAGTTTGAGGCGTCGAAAATATTTTTTGATAGTTCAGAACAGAAAAAAAATTGTTTCTTACTTACGATACGACATTATCATCATTTAACATCTGAGTCTCTTGATACTGTAATACGGCTTGAATACATGGCTAAAACATTTGTTACCCAAGTCAAAATAACACAACGTTATCTGTATTTGATGCCGACATGTAAAAAAAAATCAAGCTTGTATTAAAGCATTTTGGTCTTTGCGTGCTCTCACTTTTGAAAAAATAGCGTTTTAAATAAAGAGCTACACTGATGATGTCAGAATGTTTTTCTGAGTTACTCGGAGTCGATCCCATCCACGAAAGAAAGCGCTGTGATTACCTAAAAAACAAGTACGTATAGCTTAGTACATAGACAATTTTTAAAATTTTTGAAAATCAAGCAACTATACTTATCGGTGGCTCAGTTGGCTAGGTCATGGATTGGCACGCGGGAGACCGTGGTTCGATTCCCGGCCAGTGCGACATTTTCGGGCAAGTACCTCTGTGTATTTTCACATGTGCTTTTTCACCACGCAATGCTCCTCGAGGAGGGTTTAGGCGACCTTCTTGGAGCAACAATTGCCTATTTCCCGCTACCCCCCTTCCTTTCCCTCTCCAAAGTGTTGAGTGCCCAGAGTAGTGCCCTTATTAAAGGAGCCGGACGTATGACACTATAATAAAAAATAAAAAAAACTATATTTATCTGTACCTACTGTAAACTTGTTTAGCCATTTACAGCGCTTTTTTCTTGGATTGGATTGACTCAGAATCACTTGAAGAAACTCGAAGCGAGAATGGATATTTATTTGCGCGTGCACTCAGGTAAAGTCCGATCTGGTCGGGCTTATTTTGAGTTGCTCTAAGAAGTACAACAAACAAATCTTATGATATTCACATTTTGTAGCTATAACCAATGCAACCAAGTTACTACCTTAAATAGCGTATAATCTAATGTATAATTGTATAATGATATAAACAATGTATAATTGTGTGATAATACATATACTTATCAGGGGTATGCAAAGCCGTACATGAGTAAGGTGGCAAATGTGTGATTTCAGCAGGTATTATTTTCTCCTGTAGTATACGTAATATACTATTTTTCTTGTTCCTGCGATTTTGGTTAGTATCTTGTTTCTATTATTGCAGTCACCCAAGAATTTGGTCCAGCACGAGACTTTAAAAACTAATGGGGAAGAAGTATCGATTGGTAAAAAAAGTAATCGTATTGTTTTTGATCAACCATGTGTTTATTTCGATGATACACAATGTCCTTTCAAAATTACATAACACTTCGTATATTTTTACGACTACATACATTATTTCTAAGTGTTTCTAATAAAGAGTGAGAAAAATTATAACTTGTGCATCAATTAGATGCGCTAAAAAGAGTTTATCGGTCACAGGACTGATAATCTATAAGAGAGAAGTTATGAGTATGTATATGTAAGTCAAGTCGCAAGTCTCAAGGCTCTAGGGAGTTCTAATCGGTTTGGTACATTGTAGCATAATTACCGTCAAGTTACCATGTACGTTTTTTTGTTATTGCAACCTGACGGTAATTATGCCACAATGTGCCATATCTGGTTCTAATACTTTTAATTCCAGACTTGGCGGTACATACACATAAATCTTGATCTATGTAAACATGTACAACTAGATTAAATTCTGCAAAATCAAAAAAGCTGAGTAAAGCTTGTTCATAGTACTACAGAAAAAATTGAGGCTTATGACTGTCTTCCAGCCAACAGTTATCTGTAACGACTGCTTTTGTGCACGGCACAAAGCCAAACCCAATTATTTCAGAGAATTTGGATCCTTCAGAAAATTATTCAAGCTATCCAGCTTGATTGTTTCGCCACATTCAAGCTTGCTGTTATTAAGGTTTCACCCGTGATGCAGATAATAAGTAACGTAAAAATCAATATTACTCCCGTTGATAAAGTCTTGACGGAAATAATCAAGTTATCTGTGTATAAATAAATAGAGTATTTTATCAATAAGCACAGCTCAAATGAACATTTAGTTTTGCAAGTATTAATATTGATGGCAAGTATTTATCATTGTTATGAATCGCATCTTTTTCGGAAAGGTCTTTAAAAAGCCATGTTTACTCGTATGTGAGGAAATCCAATCCAAATTTGCCTTTACGCAATTTTTTTTTCAAGGCACACCTTTAAAATAAATTTTTTCTTGTTCTACGTACCCTCAATAACAAGGGAAAAATCGTTTACATGAACTTTATTGAACCAGCTTCTCGTTTTAATTCTGTACAACATCAAGTGTCTTTTTTGTAAGAAATCTGTCTTGATTATTAAACTAAACTTTTTTCCACAACAGAACGCAATTATTAAGAAAGTGACGCTAATGCTTAATATAGTTTTCAACTGAAAAATATGCAAATAACTTCCATTGTATTCGAGTTAAAAAAAAACATTACTATGAAATTTTACGTTGATAGTTTATCATCTTACATTAAATATTATACATAACATTAAAAATGTCATAATGAATAACTACAGATAATAAATAATTCATTAATCAGACATCACAGTCATTTCCTTGTAGTCCGGTAGTTAAAGCACGAAAAAGGGGTGAATAAGAACATTTCTGCCACCTAGAAGGAAATCGTTTTAATCGCTTACAAATTTAATATAGTCTAATTATTGGAAAAAATACTTTTGTCCAACAAAAGCGTTGGCTTCAAGTGTTATTTAACAAATTGTAAAAATTAACCGAATTTTTTAACATTTTGGCTCATAACTTCTTTTCTTCTCTCCCTCCTCTCCAGTCCCGCGCTCTCACCTATACTTTGCGCTTACTCGAGTGGGTATACTACCTATGTATGCACGGAGTAACAGACCGTGAGGAGAAGCATGGCCACGTGGTGGGGATAGCTCAGCTGCCACTGCTTACAAATCTTTGCAACTAAATATCTCAAGGATTTACGTTCATCAAACTTAAATAAATAATTGATTTTTATAGTTTTTTCACTGCCCTTTCAAATGGTGCAAACCATTTCACGCTAGGTGCTTTTGTTTCAGAGTTATAAGTATTTTAAACTTTAACAAGTCTTTTTCTCAGAGTTACCAGGTTTTCACAATTTTTTAATTATTTTTCCCGTGATCAGCGTGGTCGAAAACATAAAGTATCAAGTTTTCACTTTACTGTATATTATGCATGCCAAATCTAATTTTCCTGGTCTACTTTGGGCTGTTTGAGTGTTTTAAGAATTTTGGTTTACAGTTAAACTTAAGTAAACATAATTTTTTTAAAACAGAAATTGCCTTTCTGGCAGGGTTTGGCTGATGTCACTCTTTTATGTCACCCATCTTTTTCTGCAGAAACTTGTCTAATGCTTTGAACCTGGATGCTTGAGCAACTCGAGGATAATGTCTGGAAACTCTTGGGATTTTTTTCAAAGAAATTATCGCTGGCTCAGTTAGATTATGGGGTGTATGATAAGGAATTGACTGCTATATTTGAATCAATTTTTTTCATTTTAAATACTTCCTTGAAGGCAAAGAATTCCACATCCTGACGGACCAAATGCCTCTTATCCATGCCTTTCAACAGTGGGCTGAGAAGGCTTCTCCTCACCAATGTAGGCAGTTGACATTTATTTCTCAATTCACGACTTCTATTAAACACCTTGCGGGTGCGGACACTTTAGTTGCTCATGCCCTATTAGACCGATCAATCGAGCATGACGGATAGGTGTTTTATCAAATAAATGCCAACCATGATATCTCAGAATAATGGTCTTCGTTATGATGTTTAGAAATAACGTATCTAAATTCCAATAGCTAGTTTTTTCTTTTTTTTTTTTTATGAGCTGCTCAAGGACAGAAAAACTTGTTTTTGCTTCTATGAAATTTCCCTTACATTTTATAAAGAAATGTCTTATACAAAAGTTGTAGGCATTTTAAATATCTACAAAATGAGGCCTGTTGCGTTAAAATTCATTTCGGATTTTTTTTATAAATTACAAAAAACAGTTCAAAATCGCTGTTTTTTGTTTGATTGTTTAAACAAACAGTTTGTAATGTAGACATCTGAAAATTGTATGGACTATTGTTTATGACGTATAGTATATGTAGTTTTTTTTTTGAATTTTTTGGTTGCATGTTTTTAGCAAAAATCCATTTGTTTATTAAAAA